TTTTTTTTTTTTTTCGCTCCTCCACTCTCCCGCAGCGAGTTAAATATTTCTTTTGTTAATTGACGCCCAAAGTGTTCCCAATCCCTTCCCCGCGCCGCCCGGGCCGACCGAGGACGTGTGCACGCCCAGATCCGCTCGGTGAAGCAGCACAGATCCGCGGGGCCGAGCGGGTATGTGCGTGAGGAGGAGGAGGTGGTGTAAAAGGAGCGACGGGCACAAAGCAGATTTGAGAGGAATAATTTAACTCCGATGTTTGTTGTTTTTCATGGGTTTGTTTTTTCCCTTCTCTCTCCTTTCTGTCTCGTTTTCTGCTCAGGATTTAAATGTCACTCACAGCATCCCCAGATCAGCTTTCTGCTCGTCTCCGCTTTCTTCCGAGGCATTAATTGGATCACACGCTGCATTTGAAGAGCCTGGGTGTTTTACCCGCTAAGGTAAGTGGGCTTATGCACCTACGAGGGGTCTGGATGGTCACTGAAAGCCTTTCAGGGTGGTGTTTTCCTTCCCCTTGGCCCCCCTCCCCCAGCTCCGGGGCCAGGTTCCGTTCTACCTGGAGAACTCGCATCCCCGGGTTAACCATCGGGCGATGTAGGGAAAACGCGCCGGGGGGCAGCGGGGTCGCGGGGTCTCCGTGCCGCCCCTCGGGCACCAGCCAGTGCCCAGCGGAAGCCGGCGACCCCCTCGGTTCCCAGCGCCTGTGCTCCGGGAATAGCGCCTGGCATCACAGTAAGGAAAGAAACAGCCTAATCCCCTCTTACAAGAAACTATTCGTCATCATTTTTTTTTTTCTCCTCCGTGAGAAATATTGTAGGCGCTCATCTCCCTCCTCCCCCACCGCCCGCCCCCGTTGCCAGCGCCGGCTCCTTTGCCCGCACCTCTCCTCGCTTCAGGCGCTTCCTTCCAGGGACTAAAAAGTTAAGCTGCCCCCTCTCTCCCCCCACCTGCCCCCATACGTACGCAGTGCATTCTCCTTTTTAACTATTCTCCCTGTGCCTAATCCGAGACCGTCCAGCCCCCCCAACGCTTAAACTAGGTTGCAAAGCCGCCGTACCTTGCAACTCCTAAAACTTCTCTTCTTGCTGTGATTTATATTCTATAACAACAAAAAGGACAACAAAATATACTGGATCCTCCTGTGGATTACTTTTTTTTCCCTCTTTTTTTAAATAATGCATTTCCTTCTTCCCCTTTAATTTTTTTTTTTTTCAAGGAAATTTGCTCCATCTCCAGCAGCAACCACTGCTCCTTTTGATGTTGTGGTACGCCGTGCGCATGCGCTTCACATTAGAATTACTGCACTGGCCAGAATAAGTTGGATCTCTTCTTCTCTTCACTGAAACCCTAAATCATATCAAAAGCTAAAGGGATGCTGAGAGTCCGGAAAAAGGGTTACTTTGGGATTTGGTCATTCCCTTTAATAATAGCTGCGGTGTGTGCACAGAGGTAAGTGATTAAGGTATCTCTTTTCCTTTACTTTGAATTGCAGTGCATGCTGCTGCTGAGAGAAATGTACAGCTGGGGGCTGAGAAATCCGAAATAATACAGTATTATTCTTTCTTTTTTTCTTTAGTGTCAATGACCCTAGTAATATGTCACTGGTGAAAGAGACCGTGGATAGACTGCTGAAGGGCTATGATATTCGCTTGAGGCCAGATTTTGGAGGTAATTTGACTGCTTTTGCATAAGAGAGGTTGCATATCCGGGCTGGGTGCGTTGTGTATGGGGGCGGTTTTAAACGTCTTGTGGGTGCTGTTGCTTTGGGGGGTGTGTGTATTGCCATTTCCTGTAGCTGATCCAAAGTTAAGCCCATTGTTTCTCAATTTTCTTAGCAAAGGATGCTCTTAATGCGATCACTTAAATCACTTGTATGTTCCTAATCGGTCCCTCATTGTGTGTGCTGACACTTTACCAACCTGTAATTAAACCCTTGCTTAACTGGTTTTATGGAGATGCAAATCTCCCTTAAGTTCACCCAACGTTTGCTCCTTTTAGCCTAACGTGCCTGTGATCACAGCTACTATTTTCGAGTACAAGACGTGCCGTTAACTGATACAAAAATGTCATTTAACCCCCTGCGCGCTCCCACTTCCAACTAGTTTGTTTATTTCGGACGTGTTCCCTGTGGGTGGCCCTTTCCCCCCTCACACACAGACACACCTTGTGGCCCCCATCGCTCCCGGGGCTCGGTGCTCGCCGTGCCCGGGCTGAGCGGGCGCGGAGCGGGCGCGGCGGTGCCGCACGTGTGCGCTGTTACATAAAGCACCGCCTCGGCCCGGGCCCCGCGGCCGCGCTGGGACCCCGCTGCGGAGGGCAAACGGGGGGGGAACACTTCATGCCTCCCTCCCGACTTTCTGCATGTCGTTTCATATCTGCGCTGCGTGTTCGCCCTGCTAACTCTGCTAAGAACGAGTTAAGTTCTTCGAGATCACATTGCGGACCATCTTGTTGGTTTGCAGGTCCCCCAGTGGCTGTTGGCATGAACATAGACATTGCCAGTATAGATATGGTGTCGGAAGTCAATATGGTGAGTACTTGGGCTTCGGGGCTGCTCGCTCTCCGAGGGGGCGGCA